TTACTGAAAACAAAATTCTAAAGAAACAACTTGGTAAATGCAACAGATTGGTAAACAAATCACACTGGGAAGCATCTCAAACCTATCCTACTAGATGGAACAGTTCTCATTCGAACCTATATAGATATAAAAAGTCTTTTTCACCCTGGATTGATCACAGATTCTGCTCTTTTTGCATGAAAGCAGGACATGCCTATGAACAATGCTATTCCAGAAGACATAAACCCAAACTTGTTTGGGTTGCTAAATCTTCTAACTAAAACTAATCTTTTTTAAGAATAATAAAGGTGCTAACATCTGGTACTTAGACTCTGGATGCTCTCACCACATGACTGGTAACAAAGCCCTTTTTACTTTTCTTAATCCAAAAAGAGGAGGTAAAGTTTTTTATGGCAATAACAACTGTGCTTCAGTGGTTGGAAAAGGCACTATTAGTAGTAATTCCTCACTTGTTATTGAAGATGTTCTTTATGTAGAAGGTTTAAAGCATAATCTGCTCTCCATAGGTCAAATTTGTGGGTCTACCTATCGTGTTATTTTTGATCCACTATGCTGCATAATTGAAAGAATCTCTGATAATGCTGTGATTTTTGAAGGTAAGAAAGTTAATAATGTGTACACTGTAGACCTCTCCACTCTTGACCTCTCAGAGAATATATGTCTAAGCTCGATGACTGAATCTGCAGTCACATGGCATAGAAAACTAGGGCATATGAGCTTCTCTCGCATGAACAAACTTTCAAAACTTAACCTGGTTAGAGGACTACCTAAGATAAAATCTTCAGAAAATTTCACTTGTGAAGCATGCATATTAGGAAAACACTGTAAGAAGATATTTAAAAGTAAACAGGACATCACCTCCATAGCTAATTTTGATCTCCTGCATATGGACTTATTTGGTCCAACTAATGTCCAAAGCTTAGGTGGAAAGTCATATGTGCTAGTAATAGTTGATGATTTTTCCAGATTTACCTGGGTTTATTTTCTATCTTCCAAAGATGAAGCTTTCTCTAAGTTCAAATCTTTTGTGATTCTAATGAAAAATTAGTTTGACTGTCTTGTTAAAAGCATCAAAAGTGATAATGGTGGAGAATTCATAAATGACAACTTTTGTAGCTTTTGTGATCATTATGGTATTCTTCACACTTTCTCTGCCCCTAGAACTCCACAACAGAATGGAGTTGTAGAGAGGAAAAACATATCTCTCATTGAATCTGCCAGAACCATGCTTCTTGAATATGTTTGTCCTAAATTCCTTTGGGCAGAAGCAGTAAGTACTGCTTGCTATGTGATAAATCGTACCACCATTAGAAAAATTATTAATAAGACTCCTTATGAAATTCTGAAAGGAAAAGTTCCTAAACTGTCCTATTTTCAACCCTTTGGGTCTAAATGCTACATTCTGAATACTAAGGATCAACTGGGAAAGTTTGATGCAAGGTCTGATATAGCTATCTTTCTTGGTTATTCTAGTAAAGGTCAAGCATACAGAGTCTTCAATAGAAAGTCAAGAAAGGTTGAGGAGTCGGTTCATATTAAGTTTGACTCATCTGAGTCTCCTCTTCCCTTAAGATCAAATATAAATAACTATGACTTCCTTCCTATTAGCTCCTTTCTTGAGACAGGTGATTCATCAAACCATCAGAATCCTGTAGAAACAAATTCAAGTCCACAAGCAACTTCTGACGAGGTAAGTTCTCCTGAGGATCCTGAAGCTCCAGCTCACATCAAGAAAAGACATCCTCCATCTCAGATTATAGGTTAACATATCTGATCCTATCCAAACCAGAGGTAAGTACACACCTGGTCAGTATGCCTTTGTCTCTTTACTTGAACCTAAAAGCTATAAGGAAGCTATTCTTGATGAAGAATGGTTACTTGCCATGCAAGAAGAATTGTCACATTTCATCAGATTAAAGGTCTGGGAATTGGTTCCTAGACCTGTAAACTCTCTAGTCATTGGTACAAAATGGATTTTTAGGAACAAATCTGATGAACTAGGCTTTATTATGAAAAACAAAGCTCGACTAGTTGCCCAGGGGTATAGTCAAGAGGAGGGAATTGATTATGATGAATCATTTGCTCCTGTAGCTAGGCTAGAATCAATCAAACTTTTATGTGCTTATGCCAGTCTTATGAATTTTAAACTATATCAAATGGATGTGAAAAGTGCCTTCCTGAATGGTGAAATCAAAGAAGATGTGTATGTTGAGCAGCCTCCTGGCTTTATTGACTTTGGATTTCCTGACCATGTTTTTAAACTTTCCAAAGCCCTTTATGGTCTTAAACAAGCTCCCAGAGCTTGGTATGACAAATTAACCTCCTTTCTCATTTCTCAAGGGTTCTGTCAAGGTGGAGTTGACAAAACTCTTTTCATAAAAAGAAAAGATAATCAATCCTTGATAGTTCAGGTGTATGTAGATGACGTTGTTTTTGGCAGTACAGATCCTAGTATGTGTGATGAATTCTGTTCCTCCATGAAAAGCCAATTTGAAATGAGCTTAATGGGTGAATTAACATTATTTCTTGGTTTACAAATTCATCAAACTAACTCTGGGATCTTCATTCATCAAACCAAGTACCTACAGTGACACGCCAAAGCACAACACCAATCTGCGACCAAGTGTAATCGCAGACCGGGAATGCAGTAAAGTGGCAAGTTCTATTATCAACCCGGGGTCTAGATCTACTGCTTACTCAGTGATTATCTATTATCTAGCCAACTAAGTTAAGTGATTGTTGTTTAAAGCAAAAGCAGAAATAAAGCAGGAATTGGTACGGTTTTTGTCAAGCAAAAAAGAGTCACTCGGGAATGAGTCCCCCTAGATCCTTAGTTAGGTTTCAATTGTAATTACCCTGGGTTGATTTACTGCTGATTAGACTGCGGAAGATCCGACAGTAGCTTGGAATCTCTTAAGCTGACCAAGCTCTCTTAGTCTAACTACCCGGCAGACGACTAGTCTTCACCGGGATAGAAAGCCGAAGCAGTAAGAACTAAGAACAGAACTCCACTACTGGAATTGGATTCCAGTACAAAGCAGTAAACTGGCTAACTCTCGTATAGCCAATCTCCTACAACCGAAGGATGAGGCTCTAACAACCTAATCAGATTTTATCTATCTCAGGTTGCAGCAGAAATCAGGAAAAGCGGATCAGACTTCAATTGACTCAATAAACATGCATCATTCGATTAAAACCAAGCAGTAATATCATCCTAAGTCATTACAATCAAATCCCTAACACATAGAACTAGGGTTCTTCATCCCCAAGTGAGAGAAGGGTTCTACTCCATAGAGAGAGAGAGAGAGGAAAACAAAGTACAAAGTAGTCATACTCATAACTATGGGAAGAATCTGCTCTGGGATGATGATTTCCACTCCTATGACGATCTCCAAGCTTGATTTGATGAAACCCAGCTCCAAGATAGCTTCTAGGATGTGTTCTTCGTACTTTCTCTCTCTAGGGCTCTGTTTTTGCTCCAAAAGTCCGATTCTCCCACTTGCAGCCCGAAATTGGGTTAAAACCAGGAATTCACGACTCACACGGGCAGGGTCACACGGCCGTGTGACATACCCAGTTGCCCGTGTGAGGTCAAAACGCCGCGTTCCGATTAATTGGACTTCAGTCAACCTACACGGCCAGGATCACACGGCCGTGTGGATCACCCTGCCTGGCCGTGTGAAGCCTCGCAGAATTCCACACGGCCAAACCACTCCTTCACACGGCCGTGTGGATATCAGGGTAAGCCGTGTGAAGGCTCGCACAATCCCACATGGTCAAATAGGTCACTTGCACGGCCGTGTGAGTTGTGGGTGTGCCCGTGTGGCTTCCTTTTTGACTTGCCTCGCGCCCGATCTTCGTCCAATCGACCCCGAACTCGCTACTAAATCTTCATTCACTTGCTAGGACCTGAAATATCACAAACAAACACAACCTAGCGTGAAATCGGCCTAAAACATGAGAATCAACACCTCAAACGGCTCCAGAATAGGGGTAAAAACATGTTCAATTAACGGCTTATCAAACTCCCCCACACTTAACCGTTTGCTTGTCCCCAAGCAAACCAAGTCAGACACAAGGTGAGCTCACATATTTCAATCATACCAACATTGGGGACAAATCATATAGGCACAGAACACGTAAATCATACTGGTTTTCAAACATCAACACATGAACAACCTTAATAGCAACCTGGACAACCACCACAGAAGACATTCGAGTGCAGCAAAATCGAGTAAAGGAGGAGTCTCCCTTCTGTTCATCAACCAACCTAAACTTGACTCAATCACTCACTCAAGACAGTCAACTCATGCATAAAACTCAAGACATCAGAATCAAGACCGAGCCATCTAGGTCCTCACCGGGTAAAGAGTGTAAAGAACAAGGAAATGAATCTCTCACTCTCGACCAGTGGGGCCAGGACAATTTGATGCGAAAAATGCACATACTAATTCTCTCGATTCCTAACATCTCTTCACCATGACGGCCGCCTCTAAAGGTTAGAGTTCACATAAATGGTTGTCATCACTAACTAATCAGGAGGTCTTAGACACAGGTTCAAATGACTGGCTAGGGTCTTGGACATGGGGAAAAGGCCTTTTAGGTGGTGGAAGTATTCATAGCACAAGGTTCCACAATTCCAAAACCCAACAAACCCACAGTCAATCAAACCAGTACTTTCTTTCTGCTATTCTGTATTACTCAAATTCGAAGCACAAGAGCGAAGGAGGTCACATAAATACCAGTATTTCTAAGCCAGACTGCTAAGAAACACTACTTAATGGGCACTATTCAGATTTTTGGTGGTAGCTCTCTTTTGCTTTCAGTTTTTCTTTGTTTTTCTTTCAATTTTTTTTTTTCATTTCTTAAAAGAACCACCACCTCTGCACATTTTCAAACACCTGCCCAACTTTTAAGAACTACCTCCAACTCTCACATTACATTTAGCAGAAACAGCAGAGAACATGTAAAAATCACTCTGTGGAACCTTCTAAAAGATGCAAAAGGGTGACTTTTCATTGAAGACCGAAAGAAAGGATAACACACGACTCAAAGGGGCTGACTAGGGGGTATGACACACTAGGAAAATCAATTTGGTCGTGGGCTAATCCTATGCCTCCATCATCTTAGCTAATGACAACGTGAATGCTACACATCATGGAAGAGGGAACTATCGCACAAGAAAGAAACGAGCAGGCTCAAATCTCACATGGCTACCTATATGCTCTATCTCTCATTATGATTCCCTGAACTAGATGCATAAGAGACTGTCAAGAACAAGTAATCAATCCAAGTCACAGTTGGTAAGCAAACAGTTGAAAAACTGAACCCTACACAATTCTACTGCACGTCTCAGTCATCATTATAGGTTGTCCTAGTCACCATCCAGTTGTCATGCATTAATCCGAAAACCATTCAATTCACCAATCAAACACAGTGCCAATATGATCAAACAGCCGTACTTGGAGCCCTCAAATCTCGAGATTTGGACAGTGGACTAGGCTCCAAGCACACGTATATACATTCCAACCGATACAAAGCACCCCCCCACACTTAAGCACGACATTGCCCTCAATGGAGCAGAGGAATAGAGAAGGGGAACGATGTTACCGGATTGAAATGCTGCGGGAGACTGGAAGTGGACCAGTCAGCGTGAGACATAGGGAACAAACGGACAGTTCTGCACTAAGGGAACATCAAGAACACACTAGCAAATGTTCGTTAGGGATGAGAGTTGGCCAAGATGGCCACAAAAGAAACAATCCACAAAAGAAAAGAAACAAAACACACGACAAACTCAGTTCAAGCTCCTCAAACACATGGAGCAAACAGAAAAAAAGTCTAAAATAAAAACACAAACTGAGGGGGCGACAAGTACAGCCTACTCGTCGCCGAGGTTGTCCAGATCGATGTCACCGTGTCGGCCGAATTTATAGCCCCTGGCTCGGCCACACGACCAGCTCACATGGCCGTGTTAGCTACACCTTTGCCCGTGTCGGCCGACACGGGCTGGCCGAGGAAATTTAACTCGGCCGTGCCGATTGCACATTTGGCCGTGCCAAATTGTGCGAGAGCAAACACGGCCTGGGGGAAATTCCACACGGCCGTGTCAATGTAACAGCTGGCCGTGTGGAATTCTACGAGAGCTCACACGGCCAAATCCATTTTCCACACGGCCGTGTGACATTCAGGGCTGGACGTGTGAGCTGCCAGAACTCCGAAATTGACCTGTTTTCACTCCAGAACGACATACAACTCGTGAACAACCCCTCAAGACTAAAAAAAACACAAAAAAAAATCAAAAGGAAAAAGGTGAGAAAATGCAAACCTAGGTGGGGTTGCCTCCCCACAAGCGCTTCTTTACCGTCTTTTAGCTGGACGCCAGTCGGTGGATGCTCAGTGAGGTGAAGGAGCAGGTTCCTTCAAGAGCGGATCCACCTCGCTCTTGAGGTAAAGCTTCAAATGGTGGCCATGCACACGACGAATGTGGCCACCAGCATTTGCCAACTCAACTTGGCCATCCGGCAGGATGCAAGCGAGTGAATACTCGGATGGCCAAGGTGGGGGCGGGACCAGCTCGTAGTGGTCTCCGGCCTTATTTCGAGCAGGCTTAGCTGCATGCAGTTTCGGCCGCCACTCCTCCTTGATCTGTTCTTTCGGTGACAGAGTGGATGGGAGTGGCGGCGAAGGTATGGGATGCGGATCCTGCAAAATAGGAAACGCAGAAGGATACACGACAGACTCGTGCTCCTGGTGAGATACATCATGCAGAGGTGAAGAAGCAGGAAGAGTATTAGAAATTGAAAACGTTATTCGCTCCGCACCATCCCTCAGAACTAAGGTCCCATCATGCACATCTATAAGGGCCTTGGCGGTGGCCAGGAAAGGCCATCCTAGTATCAATGGCACATCCACATCCTCATTTATGTCCAAAATCACAAAATCAACAGGATAATTGAATTTGCCAACCTTAACCAGAAGGTCTTCCACTATGCCCCTAGGATGCACGACAGATCGGTCAGCTAATTGAAGGCTCATCCTAGTACCACGGGGTTCACCTAGGCCTAGTTTCTTGAATAATTTATATGGCATAACATTGATACTAGCACCTAAATCCGCCAAGGACCTCTCTACATGCAATTTATCTATAGAGCACGGGATAGTAAAACTACCTGGGTCCTTCTGCTTCTGCGGAAGCTTGTTCTACAGAATGGCCGAGCACTCCTCGCTAAGCTCCACAGTGGCCAGCTCGCTCAGCTTCTGCTTCTTTGAGAGAAGATCCTTCAGGAACTTTGCATACTTAGGCATTTGAGATAGTGCCTCCAGGAAAGGTACTTGGACATTCAGCTTCCTAAGCATGGCCATGAAGTTCTCGAACTCTGCCTCCAGCCTATCTTTGTTCAACCGAGTAGGGAAGGGGAGTTTAGGGATATACTCCTTCACTACTGGTTGCGGTTTAGGTGCAGGCACCTCAACCTCCTTCTCTGCTTCTTCTTCAGCTGCTGGAAATGCCGAGGCAGGGGCCTCTCTCTCTTGTGCCCGAGCAGGTGGATCAACAGTCATCTTGCCACTCCTGGTTATGATGGCATTGCAGTGCTCATTCGGGTTCTGAGGGTGAGGGATGGTCTGACCGGGCAGAGTACTAGGAGCCCTTTGCGCCACTGCTTGAGCCACGCTCCCCAGCTGGGTTTGGATATCCTGCAAGACAGCCTGTGTGTTCCTCTGGCCAGCTTCAAGAGCCAGGAATTTACCCGACGCCTTTTCCATGAACTGCTCTATAGTGTTGAATTTCTGAGCACTAGAACTGGCGAGAGAACCCACCAAGTCCCGCAATTCAGCCATCGGATCATTCTGCACTGGGGCTGCACCTGGCTGCTGGAAAGGTCGCGGCTGTGATTGAGCAGCATGCCCCTGCATGGGCTGGTAGAGAGACTGTTGTGGCTGCTGGAATTGCCCCTGTCTGGGCTGATATGGCGGCCTCTGGAAGCCCGGTGGTCCCTGGGGGACTGGTGGTTTGGAATTTGCCCCACCCCAGGAGAGGTTGGGATGCTGGCGCCACCCCTCGTTGTAAGTGTTGCTGTAGGGGTCGTTGCGCCTAACATTATTGATGAAGTTCACATGCTCCTTGGGTGTTGTCGATTCCTTCATCGCCTGGCAGTCTTCCACCGTGTGATGGGTGCTCTCGCACCAATGGCAGAGCATCGCCTGCTGCTGTCCGGTCCCTGGAATCATCCCGGAGCGATCGATAGCTGAAACCAGCTTCAACACCACCTGCACCAAATCAGAGGAATGGTTTCCCACAGAATGTACACTCGGCTTGGTGCTCTCCTCGACCTCCTAGCAGGGCCCCAATCATACCCGTTCTCTGCCATCTCCTCAAAGAGTTGTTCAGCTGTGGCGGTGTTTTGGTCAGCATGTTCCCGCCACAAACGGAGTCAATCAGCTGCTTGTCTTTTGGGAAGAGGGCGTGATAGAAGGTTCCCACCTTGAAAGCATCGTTGAAATCATGATTGTGACACCTCAGGAAGAGGCTATTGTATCTCTCCCAGGCGTCCCGGATGGTCTCATCTTCATCCTGGGTGAAGTGGGTGATCTGCTTCTGCAAGTCCGCCGTCTTGGACGGAGGATGGTAGCGGGTAAGGAACTTGTCCGCCAGGTTGGCGAACGTGGTGATGGAGCCTGGAGGTCGAGTGTCTAGCCACTCCTTGGCCTGCCCCTCCAGGGTGAATGGGAAGTACCTTAGTTGGATGGCATCTGCTGGGACCCCATTGATCTTGATTCCATCGATGAGCTCGTGGAATCGCCTGAGATGTGAACGAGGGCACTCCCCCTCTTTGCCTCGGAACACCACTGAACCGCGCAGCATGGTGATTACTGAGGTGCTCGCCTCAAAATTATTGGCTGGGACATGAGGGTGTTGAATGGGTGACCTCATGTCCGCGGCCCTTGCGGTCCAGTAGGATCCCATGGTCTGCTCCCCAGGATTGACCACATCATGTTCCTGTGGATCAGCCATCTCTTCTTCTTCAGTGATCTGTAGCTGTGCTAGCGCCTCCTCCGCAGCCAGTCGCGCCGCCACCCCACCCTGCGGTTTACACGAAAACCATTTGTCGTGGGCGCGGTTTTCTATGCAAACCGCGGGCCTAGGGGGCGGTTATAAAAAAAAAAATTGGACCAAACCGCCACCCCACCCAGCGGTTTGGTCCAATTTTTTTTTTCGATCAACTCCTAACTTCGGCCGAAACTTCAAACAAACGTAACTTTGCACTCGGGTATCCGATCGATGCGATTTTTTTTATTTCGCATAACTTTTCAAGATCTACAACTTTTAGTAGGATGGAATTTCAAAACAGAAACTATTTGTGGATATACGGGACCTTGAGAATAACTTTACCTTTACTTTTCATAAATCCATGTACATTTTGAAATTATGATTATATTAAAAGTTGTAGATCTTGAAAAGTTATGCGGAATAAAAAAAAATTCATAACATTCGGATTTTGGAGCACAAAGTTATGACCGCCCAAAGTTTGACGAAATGCGAGACCCGGCGGTATGCGGCTTGCAAGATCTCAAAAAGTTTGCGGCCTCCATTTTTTGAATCCGAATAACTTTTTGAGATCTTGCAAGCCGCAAACCGCCGGGTCCCGCCTTCGTCTCGAAAAAACGTCATTTGCTACCCCGAACGAGCCTTTTTTTTATTTCGTCAAACTTTGCGCGGCCATAACTTTGTGCTCCAAAATTCGAATGTCATGAATTTTTTTTTTGATTCCACATAACTTTTCAAGATCTACAACTTTTAATAAAATCATAATTTCAAAATGTACATGGATTTTTGAAAAGTAAAGGTAAAGTTATTCCCAAGGTCCCGTATATCCACAAATAGTTCCTGTTTTTAAAATTTCATCCTACTAAAAGTTGTAGATCTTGAAAAGTTATGCGAAATGAAAAACAAATCGCTACGATCGGATACCCGAGTGCAAAGTTACGTTCGTTTGAAGTTTCGGCCGAAGTTAGGAGTTGATCGGAAAATTTTTTTTGGACCAAACCGCTTGGTGGGGTGACGGTTTTGGGTCAAACCGCCACCCCACCCAGCGGTTTGGTCCAAATTTTTTTTTTTATAACCGCCCCCTAGGCCCACGGTTTGCATAGAAAACCGCGCCCCCGACAAACGGTTTTCGTGTAAACCGCAGGGTGGGGTGCCGGTTTTTGAAAAATGGTGGTATTTTTGGAATTTTTTGGGATTGGATGGTATTTTGGGAATTGTTTTTTTAAACAGTGGTACTTTTGGATTTTTTTCCCTCGGAACCACACACTCTCTCTATAAAAAATTAAAAAGAAATTATCAGAAATATGTTCATCCTAGCTGGCCTGTCCGTAACTGGCCCAGTAAAAGAACAAATGCATTAGGCCGGTGCAAATAATAATGGGCCTAATCTGGGCCTCAGTCGATCCAATTGGCTACGAGCGACTATGGCTTTTGCGATATAACCAAACTATAAATACCTTACAAAACATTCGGCTTCTTCAGATCAGTCCTAAAACCCTAATCAACTTCTCTCCACTCTAGCGGCGGTAAGCTTCCTTCTACGATCTACACCCTCCTTCGTCCCTCCGCCTCTTCATTTCCTACGTATGTTTTAGTAACTCAACGAAGCTCGAAGTGTGTATTCAGATTAAGGCCACCTTTAAGTTTATCTTCTGTTCGATTTGCTGAAACAGGGTAACCGGAGCAGGAACTAAAATGGCGACAGTTCCAGGCCAATTGATCTGGGAGATCGTGAAGAGGAACAACTGTTTCCTCGTGAAGGAGTTCGGCCGTGGCAACGCCGGCGTTAGGTTCAGCAAGGAGACCAACAATCTCTACAACCTCAACTCCTACAAGTACTCTGGTATGCAAACGCCTTCTTTTCCCCGCCCTTCATTTTTTCTTTTCGTTTCTTTCAGTGCTGCTTGGTTTGTATGGTGGGATTTATTTACTGATCCGTGTATGTGGTGAAATAGGTTTGGCAAACAAGAAGACCGTTTCCATTCAGCCTGAAGGCAAGGATGTGGCGGTTGTGCTGACAACCACAAAGACCAAGAGGCAGAACAAGCCTGCCAATTTGAAGCACAAGTCGGTCATGAGGAAGGAGTTCAGCTCCATGGCTAAGGCTGTCACCAATCAGGTAACTAGCTCTTCGTTCAAGCATTACGTTTTTTACTCAATTCATTTGTAGAGTTGTTTGATTGGGAACTCATCAGCTTGTATCCGTCGAGCTTCTGAAGATCATTAGTTCTTGGGAGGATTATCTTTTTTGAAGTAATGGGTTTTCAGATTGTATGTAGTTGACTTTTGCTTGGTTCCCACGGCCTGAAAATTTAAAGAGCTTTGCTGCAGTTTCTTTCTTGGGCAGTGATAAGAAGCTAACATGTAAGAAGGGCCCTCTTGTGTAAAGGGTTCTTTCTGTGAAATACACTTGTTACGCTTGGCTTTTGAGTTCTTCAGCTCTTTGATTTCACAATTTTTGTCATTTGACTCTTTTTTGTTCTCAATACTTGAATTTTGAAAAAGTCGGGTTGTTTTGGTTGTTATTGGAAAAGTCTGGTTGTTTTGGTTGTTATTGGACAGTGATGAGAAGCTAACATGTAAGTGGAACTCTCTTTTGTAGAGGGTTCTTCTGTGAAATACTCTTGTTACGCTTGGCTTCTGAGTTCTTCAGCTCTTTAATTTAACGATGTTTGTGATTTGACTCTTGTTTAGATCTCAATACTTGAATTTAAATCCTGGTTGTTTAGGCTGTTCTATGGACAGTGATGAGAATGCTAACATGTAAGTGGAACCCTCTTGTGTAGAGTGTTCTTCAGTGAAATACTCTTGTTACGCTTGGCTTCTGAGTTCGTCATTTTGAATTTAAACTTAGTTATCCTTCTGAAGTTGCTGTTTATCCTGTTTACTCTTTTATTGAGATTGTGTACTGAATTTTTTTATTATCATGTATTGTGTCCATAAATTGGCTTTGGTTCTCATTTCAGAATCTTGGATGATGATTTTCAAGCTACTTGTATTAATGTTTATGCCTTGATCTATGTCAATGTAACTTGTAGGATTGAATATTCTTGTCTTCTTTAAAGAAGAGATGGCAATTGATTTGCTTGTGTTCCCTTGTTGATATCAGGTTGCGGATAACTTCTACCGCCCGGATCTGAAGAAGGCAGCCCTTTCTAGGCTCAGTGCCATCCACAGGAGCCTTAGGGTTGCGAAATCCGGTGTCAAGAAGAGAACCAGGCAGGCTACTAAGATCGCTGCAAGAAAGTGAATTCGAATGCTCTAGAGAGCACTTTTCGTTTCAGTACTGTCAAGAGTTTCCAGATTAGACAAATACTAGTTTGCAAAATTTTGGTTTATCAGATCTTCGCCTACCTCGTTGTTGTCTTTGTACTGGATATGGTCGAAGAATAAACTTTGGATTTGTGAGACATGCTATGCCTTTAGATATGCACAAGATTCATGTTTCTAGTTTTTAATTGCTATGAGATTGTTGTTCTTGATTCTCAATGATCGCGGTTTTCCCAGTTCCCCAATTTTGGTATTGTAAAGGAGGTTACCCATTTTTCTATTTTCATAGTTCATTTAAGTCGATGTGTATTTGTCAAAGCACATTGAAAATTGGTCTGTTGACAAACATGCTCTACATAGAGAGAACAGATGCAGGAAAATTTTGCTACTACGCGAGTAATTTCATTTGGGAACAAACACTCTGCTATTCAAGGAAGAAGTATACCGTAAAAATTAAACATAATTCTCATTATACATAAGATTTATAAACTTTTTTCAAACTACCAAAGTTTCAAAGGGTTTGAGTCCCATAAACTCGAACAACAAGCAAGTTCGACGATGAAGAACTCGAACTAGAACCACATCGAGTTTCTAAAACTCGATCAAAAGTAGTTCGATTTTGGAGAAATCGATCAAAGTAGATCGATGACAAAGGACTCGATCATAGTAGATCGACTTTGGACAACTCGATACAGCAAGATCGATGTCAAAAAACTCGATCTAGTAAAACGACTTTAGAGCTCTCGATCCATATCTGCACAAGATCGATGCCTTAAAACTCGAACAATACAAATCGATTCCAATGGACTCGAACCACTAGTCAAACCGACATGCATCATAAGCTTCTTTGTTGTCATATATAGAGTTTTAGAGACTCGAACTAGTGTAGTTCGATTACACTGAACTCGAACCAATGCTCAATCATTTTGTCCAGTCGCTTTCGGTCCGACATGCTCCAGAATACGGTGCAGGGGTAAAATTATTGATTGCCCTTGATCGAGTTTAATTTACTCGAACTAGTGTAGTTCGAGTTTTTTGGACTCGAACCACTGCATCAATTTACGAGGATAAAAAGCCATCACTTAGCACATTCTGACAGCTCTTTTACTTTCTATCTTCTTTCTTCCAAACACAAATTGCAGCTGCTGGAGTACCATAGCTGAGCAAAGAAGAAAATTTTTGGAGGTAAGTTCTGCTTACGTTGTTTGAATGAACATATTATAATTTTGGATTAATTTAGTATTGTTTGTACTGTATGTAATGAGCTGCTTCTATAAACTGCAGAAATGGGTAGAAAATTTCGAAAATTTGACTTATTGATTCGGTGGAATGGTCGAATTACACATTTTCATGATAGTATTGACTACGAAGATGGTGAATCAAGTACCGTCCGGATTGAGAGCATATTTACTTGGCAAGAACTCATCCATATTTGTTCGGAACGATGTTGCATAGGAGGGCAAAGAGTATGCACGATGACTTACCGTATGCCGGTTTACAAGGATTATGCACTTGTATATGAAGGATCAGTTTTGTCTGACGATGATGACATTAATATGATTGTGAGATTTATTGCAGAGAACAGATTTCCAACTGCTGAGGTGTATGTCGAGACAGAAGTTGTTGGTCAATATGGTGGCGGCGGTTATACCGAACAAGGTGAAGGATCAGGAGGGTTTCCGGTTCAGGAGATTTCAGAGTTCTGCATGATGCACCATGGCCAACATACGAGGATCGAACTGCAACTGGTCCATTGGTGGAACATGACGGACAGGAGTGGCCAGTATGGGGCGAAGAATGGGATTACATAAGGGCACCCAAACAGTCACCCAAACAAGCATCTACACCAGCATCTGGCATCAACAATGATCTGTATGTGGATAAACCAAGTCCTCCGTACACTAGCGAGGCAAGCGACGTGGAAGATGAAGAGTTAGAATCAATGAGTAGTTCAGATGGTGAAGATCTGGAAGTTGATGGGGGGAATTTGAGCCCCCACACCTCACTACACGATGGTGCCACAACATTCTCTCTATGCTCACAACGACGATCCTGACCTCCCTCCTATACCTATCAGGACTCCTGATTCTGGATTCGTGGTTGGCCAAACATTTGGAGGAAAGCCTCAGGTGGTCGATGCATTGAAAGAAACTGCTATGCGAAGAAGCTTTCAATATCGTGTAGAGGTATCAATAGCATAGACTTGTGTAGAGGCGGTACACGACGACCATCTTGTGCTTTCTCGGGGTGTTGATACCTAAACGCTCGCTTATAAATTGGCCCCAACCATTCAATGGTTTCTGTGAACTTTCTATTATTGCATCACCATCGATTGGAAGCTTTGTCGGCATGGCTACGTCCTTCAACGTAATTGTTACACCCCGAGATTGCCAAAAGTCAAAATGGCTATTATACCCTTGGGTAAATTTGTCAAATTCCACCGTATATTCGAGGAGGATTAAAAATGTGAACTATCGGTTCAAGCGGTGTCGAATTTCGACATAAAATGAGAAAGTTACGGACATTAATTGAGTTTCGGATTAAACTCACCCGTAAGTGTGAATTTCCACAAATAACATTGGACAAACTAAAACCCTAGACCGCCTACCCCGCTCGGCCTCACCACTAAACTAATTAAAACCTAGCATGAGCGGTTACTTCCATTTGCCCACAAGAAAAACCCTAAACCAATCCTAGTGCTAGAGCGGCCGATGAGAAAACCTCCGGAGCTGCAGATCCCACCATCCTTCTACTTCCTGCGCGCAAACACCAACGTCACCAATGAACTAAAATAGAGACCGAGAGGAGGACATGACGTAGGCTGGTGGTGGTGCTGTAGCCTTCGAGTATTGCTTTCATGGCGGCGACGTCTGGAGAAAGGCTCAAGATTTTCAATGGGTTTTGTCAAAGTATCAGCTTACTGGTTAAGTTCCAGGGGAATAGAAAAAGCAAACGAGATACCTTGGACAACTTGGAAGGCAAGTAGATTCCAACTCGATTGATCCGTCAATGGCCCTCCAAAACAACGATCTTGATCTTATCACTTAAGGTTTTTTTTTAGTGGACACCCAAAACCTCCTATTCGGAGTTACCTCTTTGGCTATTCCCCATAGCGGGTAATCAAGCAGCCGCTCTAGGGCGACTCTGCGGCCGGGTAAAGCACCCAGGGAGATTGACCGCGTGAAGACAGGCGCCGCTACCTCCGGAGGTTCTTTTCTCATTCGCCACGCACGGTGGCCGTAGGGCCAGGCTATGCAGATGGTGTCGTCGATGAGCAGAGGGCTCCCCGCGGCGGCTGCTATTGCTTCATTCTTGATGGAGAAATTCTTGATCAAGTATTTCAGCGCCGGGTTCAGGTCAATGTGGATCAGGGAGAAGCCAGAGAAATTCGTCATTGTTCAGGAAATGGTTATTGTCACATGTTAGTTCCCTTGGGGATGGGACTGGTATATTTTAGTGAAATTCATTGTCTGTCCCACATATTATCGTAGCTTACACTAAAGGAACGGTGAAAGGAAGCTTTGCGTTAGGTAAGATTCTTGTAGGGTTTCTGATCTCAATCGTGTTGGGATGGAAAAAGGCGACGACGGACAACGAGGATCCATGTTTGGTTTGCGAGCTTGTTCCCTCCTCCTTCAAATGCGAGGGATGTCATTCACTCAATCTCTAAGGGATGATAGTGTCAAGTTAACAAGCAAAAGTCACGAATTCGGGAGAAAAACTGCTTTTTGGTAATTAGACGAAGATGATCTAGACAAGATCGACGCTACAAAAGATAGATCATATATCGACTCGGATTTAAAGTGAGTGTAAAGGGGGTAAATTCTATGCCTTACGTATTCTTTTAAGTATTATGATTTTAAGTATTTTTAGTGAATTGGTTACCATTGCTTGAGTATGTTTATGATTGATTATTTGTGGTTTGCTTGAGCTATGATATGAGGTGATTTTGTGCTATTTACCTTAAAGCGTGATGTTTGAGTTATTGTTAAAGTTTAAGAAACAAGTTCTTTTTGAGAAGTAACTCACCTTCAAGAAGGTGAAGTCGTTTTAAGTGTTTTTAGTCACTAGCGCCAGTCCGTTGCCATTTGAGATTTTGAGATAGAGCAGCAGTTATGCTCTTGAGACTTTTAAGATGAGCAGCAGTTATGCTCTTGAGAATCGTGGTGAAGAGCCACCACGATAAGTTTAAGATGTTAGGGGGATGAATCGTTACGACTTCCCTAACTAAGTTTAAGTTTAAGGAAAGCCTTGATGGCTTCTCATACGTATGAGTTGGCAACCAGACTAGCTAGTGGGGGATCCCAGTGTGAGTAAGTATTTAAGTCGAGATTTGAGCTTTAAGAATGGAGAGTAACAGTAACTCCCATACAGTTTTAAGAGTTAGAAATTTTAAGAGTGGAAGTACAAACAACTTCCACAAATTTAAGTAAGTGTTCTAAGTAGAGTACTAAGCAGTAAGAATTTTAAACGTAAGGGCGTAGACTGACCCCATCTCACTCACCACTTTGAAGAGGACTAAGAGGAGTTAGAGAGGAGCAGTTTGAGGGCAGCCAGTAGAGGAGGGAAGTACAAGCGCCACTGAGGATGTCTGGTCAAGGCTTTCAGGAAGCAGTAGCATTAGAGACTTTTTAGTTGTTTCAGTTTATCATTATGAGTATAGGCTGGAGATCATTTTGAGATTTTAAGGTTTGAGTTTGCCCAAGTGTCAAGCTTTGTGTTTAAGTAATGAAAGTTGTTTTCGGTATTTATTAAAGTTATTTATGAAATGTTTCCGCTATTTTTCTAAGTATTTTCAGTTCTTATTTTATTTCACGGTTTATCGAGGGCATTTTGGTAAAATTAGTACCCGGCCGGGTTAGGGTGTTACAGTAATCGTCATCTCTCCCTCTAGAAGGTGGAATGTGTGCGTTTCTTTTCTCCATCTTTCCACCATTGCCGTAAGAAGGTTGTTGTCCATCTCCATCCCCACAAACTTCCGCACCCTCAGCAATCGCGCTCTTTCAATGAAGGGCTCGATACGATCATCCCAATTAGGCAAGCGAGATAGCGACCGATGGGTGATTACGTCAAGTTGTTCCTGTAGAAAAAAAACATTAATTATTATACAAAAAAATTAGAAGAATACTATCACATTTAAAAAAAGAAAAGTACATGAGGAAGTGCTTACTGGATCTGCCGCCCAAACACTTTCAGACCGATGGTAAGGTTGCTCATCCAACAAATCGGTTTCTCGCGGTCCGCCTTGAATGTATAATCTAGGATCGTAAATACTGGGATCCATCTCGACAATTTTGAGTGATAGAAGCACCAAACTAAAGAAAAAAAATCTGATGCGAAAGATCGGGCTTAGCCGCAACCACAGAGCATATTTTTTTCTTCAAGAGTGGTGGAGGAAGAAGAATGGAGTGGTGTGAGTTTTGGTGGAATGGGAGGGGGTATTTATAGGTTCTGTGGGAGAGTGGATCGAGTTTACGTAACTCGAACGACTCAGATCGAGGGTAGGTCGAGGGTAGGTGCATCGAACGACTCAGATCGAGTCTAGGGTACTCGATCGACGGTAGTGCGCGCCTGGCGTCATTGATCGGCGACAATCAGATCGATTACCATGGACTCGATCTATTGTCATCGAGTTTCCCCCACTCGATCCGCGTCATCACTGCTTCGCGGGTTTGGTAATCGAACAGCCTAGATCGAGTTTAGGGTACTCGATCGACGGTAGTGCGCGCCTGACGTCATCGATCCGCGTCAATCAGATCGATTGCCATGGACTCGATCTACTGTCATCGAGTTTCCGCCACTCGATCCGCGTCATCACTGCTTCGCGGGTTTATCAATCGAACGACCAAGATCGCTTCCCGGTACATCGATCTAGGATGGAGCGCTGCCCAGGTCATTGATCCAGGTCTTGCTGTTCCAGTCTTCCATCCTCAATGCACGTGGATCGATTTGTTGGCAGTCGATCTGGTACTAGTTCGAGTTTGTTGAACTTGAATCGTGTCAAACTTTGGTAGTTTGGGAATTTTTTATAAAAGTCATGTATTCTGAGAATTATTTTTAATTATTACTGTATTTAGGGAGTTAATCCGCTATTCAACGTGTGGTTATTGTGATAAGTTGTAATTCGGACCTGGTTTGGTATAGGTTAGTTGTTTTAGCTTTTAGATAGTTTGATTATTTGATTTCACACTTTGCTATTCAATCAAACTATTAAACAATTAGGCAAATAGTCATATTTACTATAGGGTTATTTGTATGATATGTCCCTCCATTATACATTTCTATCAAACATGCATTTCTTGTATTTTTTACATCAAACATACTCTTGCCCGTCACACAAATTATCGAACTTGCACTTATGTTAAAATTTCAATCCAAAACCATCGTGTGCGGTCAAATCGTGATTCAGATGGCCTGATCTCTGCAAAATTTGAGGGAAAATGTCAGTTCTTTCCCTTCATTTTTTCAAATATCACTCGTATTACCGAGAAAACAGCCAGATACAAGATTGAACTCCACTATAGAGGGGACAAGGAAGAGCTTTTCTTGCTTCCAAGTGTGCAACCTTGTTACATGTATGACCAAAAAAAAAAAAATTAACCTAAAACTCATGGAAAAGTCTTTCAAGCTTCTAATCTCTTCCGATACCATACCCCCAAGGACATATGCTACCTAACCCTCCTGGACCTTCCTCGCTATCACTTAGGCGTCATGTGCAATAGTCATCGAATGCGGCCCTCGTGCCAAACACCATCAGGGAACATCCCGGAAGACCAATAGCTCCACGAGAGACAGTTCTTAAATACCCACGTATAATGATGTTAACGTTGCCACCACCATGCTTGTGGGATCTAGCGGAACCCAACTGCCCACCCCATGAGAGCCACTAGTCGTAGCCCCATTAACGAACATAACTAACTCTCCTAGTGAAACAACTTCACTGTCCTTGGAAACTAGGTCCACTGAGTAATGGCGAACACTCGAGTCGTTGGGCAAGGCATCCCACTCTGCAACCTGCAATCAAAATTTAGAAAGCAACATTGCAACAACGTATTGAGTAAAATTGAAGAGAGCCCAATTCATGGCCTTTCAAACATGCCATAAGAGGGCCACAATTCTCGTCAGGGCGCCACGATCGAGTTCCTGCCACTCAAGTAGCATGCGCCAAAAGATGCCAATATTGCTTAGGGGAAAGCGATCCCTAACTCGTATGAGGTTCGCCCCTTCCCACAACCCAACCGCCACTCAACAGCGGAAGAAGAGATGTTCTAGAGATTCCACCTCCTCCCCCACAGACTGGACATTCCTCTCCCCCCTCCCCAAAGAGAACTCAACGCCTCACCAAGTAGCTAGACACCAGTCCACCACGAACAAGCTGCCAAGCAAGTACTGCAACTTGGGGGGTATAAGAGACACCAAAATCCTTTTCCAAAGGCTATGATCTCATACATGTACTTTCGCCTTCACCTTTAGCTCCTTTCGCCTCCTTAACTCCTCAGAGCCAGACTTCACAAATAGTTCGCCATTCCATATCACACAATCAAGCATTGATGAAATTAGCAAAGGAATAGCCAGAATAGCTCGGACCCTTTCCTCCTCAAAGATTTTTCGTAAGCAGTCCATCCTCCAAACACCTTGGTTAAGGCAGATTGAAGATGCCACTGTTTAATGGGCCCCAATTATCCAATATTGAGGTCTCGGGGGTAAGGGATGTAACGCTGGCACCGATTATCTGTAAACACTTTGACATATTATCCTGAGTCAATTTGTCATCCCAAACCTTGTACCAACTGTCGCAACCGCCCCTCGAAATCGTGGGACCCGTCGCGTGATGATCGGAGTCGCCATCGACCTTAGAAGTAGTGAGTCGAGCACTAATTGGTTCGGTCTTGACCTTAGGGTCCAGACCAGGATTTGGTCTGCGAAATTTTAGAAATTTGGTTCGGGAGTACGGTTACGTGTGGGGAAGTGTATTCACACCCCACAACGCCCAAAATTGGCACTACTTAAATCGATAAGTTTTGTGGATTGGGTGTATTATTATTTCCGCCTTATTGCGTATTTAATTATTGGATTCATTTAATTTGGTATTTATTAATATATGATTCGGTCATTACGTTTATTAACGTAAATAGCGAAAGGTAAAGAAAGAGTTTTTAGTTGGACTCGAACATATTGGTTGGCTACGTACCCGAGTAGTCGGGATCAAAGTCCACGTAGTTCGATTTAATTGAGTGATTTGAAATGTTTACGTTTGTACGTTAAATTGTTGAAATTTTTTGTTAGTTGGACTCGAACCTATTGGTTGCCTACGTACCCGAGTAGTCGGGGATCAAAGTCCACGTAGTTCGGTATTTTATGACGTGATCTTAGTACGTTCTATTGATCGTGATTAAGATAAAAATTAGAATTTTTATGAAATGTAATTGATGATTAATCTTGTTAATATGAATGAAATGTGTTACATTGATTTACCACGCAAAGAATTATTAATTAATTCAATATCAAGCTAAAGATTTTATCACGAGATAATCAATCGTGATTCAAATTGTAATAATGTGTTTTAATTCAGGATTAATAAGAGTTGCAACAAGCGATTGAGGTTATTTAAGTGGTTAAGGAGTTAATTGTGATTTGAAAGACTTTGTTTCGAAACTCGGATAGGTTGATTTTTTGTGTTTTCGGTTTTTAAACGACGAGACAAGGGTAATTTTGACGAAAATGCAGGGGTGAATAGGTCTTTTCGAGGTTGAAAAATGAGTGTTAGAGCGCAACCTCCAGTCGCCCTACCTTCCTTTACCTTCGGCCCCGTTTAGTATTGTTGCCTGTTTTTGTTTTCTGTTGTGTTTTTCAAAATTGGAGAAACCAAGAAAAAAAACATGTTTAGTTGGGTTTCTATTTTTTGTTGTGAATCAGATTTGCACAACAGGGCCCAAATTTGAGAAACAACAATTTCTTGCTTTGGATTTGATTCTTGTACATGTTTTACATGGCATTCCCATTTGTTTTCATTAAAACAACCCTCAATTCGAATCCCACCTAAAGCAAAAAATTTCTCTTTTATTTTTTTTTAACTCCCAAACCCACCTCCAAACCCTAGTCGGCCAACCCTACCCTCATTTTCTCCCAAACCCGGCGCCCAACAACTCCCTCCCTCTCTCAACTTCTTCCTCTCGAGACCTAGGCCACCGATATCGTCCATCTCCCCCTCGTCGTCGATTTCGTCCCTTTTCCCCCGCCGCCTCCCTTTCCCCTGTTGCCCGACCTCGCAACCCCTGCCGCCTCCTCCTCTCGATTCCCGTCGCCGACTTCGAATCCTTCCCCCCCGCCGCTGCCTCCTCTCTTTTCTGGTTTTTAATTCTAATAGTAGTAATTGAACGCATTTTTGTTTCTTGTTTTCTGTTTTCATTATTTTTCAGATTATCAACTAAACATGTTTGTGTTTTCTGTTTTTTTCCTATTGTGGTTGTACATTTATTTACAAAACACCACTGCAACCACAACGGCAACAAATCGATACTAAACGGGGCCTTCGTTTTCTCTGAACTCTGTCTAAAACCAACGAAAAACAAAAGGAAGAAAATACAGGAAATCCATCCGATCTCCCTCATCTCTTCTCTCGATCTTCTATTACTTTTATCTCTGGCGAACAAAAAAAAAACAAAGAAAGGAAAGAAAATCCTCTTTGATCTACCTCTCGTCTCCTCCCTCGTGTTCTTTCTAGAAACCGAGCAGGGACCGAAAAAAGGAAAAGCAACAATGATGCTCCATACAACCCTCAAGTCGACGGTAAGTCAAGATTCAAGGCTTGCACGTCTGTTTTTTCGTTTGATTCTGATTTTTGGGGAATTTTTAGGGTTCTGGCCCTTTTGTGTTATTCTCTTGTGTTTCTGGCTAGAGGGGTCGAAGGAAAGGAGGCGCGCCTCTGACGACGGAGACGGATTATGGGTAAGTTTTTGTTTCCAGTTTTTATTTGTTTGGTGATTTGTTGGCAGATTCTGATCTGATCTGCTTTGTTTTTTTTCCTTTGGGTTTTGCTTGGGGAACGGAGGAAAGAGAAGGGAGCCGCCGGCGACAATCCTGGGCTTCGCCGATGGGAAAGACGATGATGACAGGGGCTTGACCCTTTTGGTAAGATTTAAGTGGTTTCTTTTTATTTCTTTAATTTTTGAAAATGCTATACCCGGCTAATTAAACCTCTGATCCCTACGCTTTGTTCTCGCACTACACCGAGTAAAAAAGCACTTGCTGGATCAAGGACAGTAGCTGAGCTCTGCATCCCATGACATTTCCTAATCTCAGGTAAGCATGCCCTATCACTTCTGCCGATCCGACGTATTTCCATTGGGTTTAACCTTCCTCACGCTTCCTTGACGATGGCACCCATGCTTGCCACGTTCGTGAAGGGATTGGCAACGAATGGTCCGCCACCAATTAAGGTGGAGCGACCTCCTGATATTTTTGTTGCTCCTCTCCGGGACCCTACGATGGCGCACTTAACCTCCGATCAGGTCGTTGAGTTTTCAATGGAAGAGGTGCAATCAAGCAAGTATCGTGCGACCAACTCATTCATCAGACGCCTCTTCACGGAGAATCGAGTGAACACTAAAGAAATCAGGGAAGCTCTTTGTCTCGCCCTGGCAAGTGAAGGGGAGATTGAAAGTGACTGTGACAAAACACGGCCTGATGGAGTTCACTTTGCCGACCGAAGAGTCCAAGTCCTAGGTGCTCAAGAGGACGGCATGGGTGGTCACTGACAGGATCTTGCCTTTGCGGTCATGGTCCCCGACCATCTCGAAGCAAATTTTTAATGACTTGGCTATGGTCCCTATGCACGTCCTGTTTTGGAACGTCAAGGAAGATTGCTGCACCCACCAATTTGGGAGGAAGATGGCGGCGAACACTCTAGGCCAGGTTTTGGAAGCTGGCGTCTTTTCTAGTCACGAGACGGGGGAGTACTTTGTGAAAGTTCGCACGGTGCTGGATCTCACAAAGTTTTTACGCTCCAAAATCATGGCTACTAGCGATGACACAGGTGGCTTCTGGGTGAATTTCAAATACGAGTACCTCCCAACCTTTTGCTATTGTTGCGGTCGTGTGGGTCACCCAATTCGTACATGTGCTAACGACCCACGATGAGAAAGGAAAGGTTCGGACCCCATATGTCCACCAAAAAATTTGGAACCAGTGTTTATGATGCGGACGAAGGATCCCACCAATTTAGGGGAAATCCGAAGACGGTGTGGATTAACCAGGACCTTCGGGCTCGGCGGGATACCCAGAATAATAACCGTGCGCGCTCGATGGAGATTGATGACCACCGGAAGAATCAAATCCCTGCTGCGGGACTCAAGGAGTCGGTTGCTCCTTTTCACCGGCGGAAACGTCACACCCGTAGTTCGCACTGGTTCCCTATGAACAAATCGCCGAGAATAAAAATGGGGCAGGGAGCATCCAATCTTATACCTCATGAGGGTAGACCCGACTTCAGTCGTGGTCAACCCGCCCCATGCGCACAATGAAGCGACCGAGGTTGATGATGGGATGGAGCTTGTGTCCCCAGATCAAAAGGCACCGGCACATTGTCTGAAGAAGGATCCCGACACCATTGTCCAGGAGGGACGAGATGTGGCCCAACCGGTCCTGGCCTCCCTGTCTCAATCAGGCCTCCAAGAACCCATACATCATCGGAAGCTGTTCCTTGATGACTCGGAGGAGGAGAGTTCGTGGCGGTCGCTTCCCGGGAAATCCAAGCAGCTGCCAAAGAAGGGGGCAACAGCGAAGGGACGCATGCTAATAAAGGCTACTGAGAAATCCCAGCTCGATGGCGGAGAGGGTCCTTCGAGGGCAGTAGCTCGCTCTTCCTCTCGGTGTCGCGGTGCTGGAAGAAAGAAGCAGGAGAGGAATGCCCTTCAAGACCCGCAGTCGCGTGATATCGACACGGTGAAGGAGTCGGAGCAGGCACTGTCAGAGGAAAGTTTGCTCAAGAAAACTTGTCCTGCTCCTCCCAATAAAATAGGGTATTCCTCTAACCTCGCGGAGGAAGCAGCTGACTCGGACACTTCCCTTTCGGAAGCGGGTGATCCATGCTTTGAGCTAAAGAGCCGCACGCCACTGTCAGGCCTGGCTCGAGGCCCTCGATCCATTGGTGGTCGAGTTCAGCAGGTTGTGGCGGCCTTTGAGACAGGGATGTTGATTAATGCTGACGAACAACTGGGTGCGGCGGGGTTGGAGAGAGACCAGAAATGCTAGGGCGAGGAGATGGATGTTACAAATCCGATTGATGAGTGTGGCTCCTATCTCTAGGATCTGGCTCCTGCAAATCATAAGCGCTCTTTTGATGAGTTGAAAGGGGAGCTTGGGGAGAACCCCACTCCAAAAAACAATTTGTGGAGGAGGATATTGAGAAGGTGGAGGAAGCCAGCCTAAAATGGCCCCAAGTGAATAAATGAGGCTACTTGCCTGGAACGTGAGAGGAATTGCACCATCACTCACGTTCCAAACAGCTGTCGATTTAGTTTATTCTAATAAACCAGACCTTGTTTTCTTTTCGTAAACAAGATCGCGTCGGAGGGTAGTTTCCCGCCGTCTGCGGGGGTTAGGGTTTAATAATTCAGATTGTTTCTCTGTTGATGCTGTCAATGCATCTGGTGGTCTTGTCTTATCTTGGGCCCCCGAAGTTAACACTTTGGTTTTTTTTCCATTCCGACTTATGTATTTGTACGCAGATTAATGAAGTAGAATTTTTCTATATTGTGGTTTTTGTTTATATTAGTTGTATTGCCTCTTTAAGAGCCACCCAACTGGCTCAATTGTGGGAAATCTGTGCCACTTTTCACCTTCTGTTTGTGGTCATTGGGGACTTTAATACGACTCTTAATGAATGTGAAAAGGATGGCAGTAATCCTTGGAACGCTACCCAGTCAATCAGCTTGCGTGATTTTGTTCAGGACCTTGGGCTCCATGACCCTAGCTACCAAGGTGACCGATTCACTTGGACAAATAAACGTATGGGATCTGCGTGTGTTCGTGAACATTTGGACATGGCTCTCTGATCCCAGCATTGGATGGATTCTTTCCCATACACTCTTGTTAAACATTTTACTATCAGGGGTCTGATCATCGGGCGTTTCTCCTGTCAGATAAACCCTATATCCAGAACAATCGCCCTATTTTCCGACTTGATGCCCGCTGGGCTGAGAATCCGGAAGTTAGGGCGATGGTAAATTATGTCTGGGAGGAACCCGTACTAGGAACCCCCATGTACCAGCTCTAGGAAAGGCTTAAAAAGCTCCGCCATCTGTTGTACGACTGGAGTAGGGCGGGTACTACCAATTCTCTCCGTAACATTAAGACTCTTCATGCTGAAATTGAGCGTATCAGGTCCATCCACCCTATTGATCGGGACGAGGTGAAAATCCTTGAAGTTGAATTAGCCAGGCAGTGGGAGGCGGATGAAATTTACTGACAGCAGAAATCTCGTGTCAAATGGTTAAAGAAGGGGGGACAAAAATTCTTCGTATTTCCATACGGTCACGAGAACTCACCAGAAAAAGAAGTTTGTTCATGGACTCCGCAATGATAATGGGGAATGGATCACATAGGAAACTGAGAAAGCGGACGTTGCTACCGCCTTTTACCACAATCTTTTCACCTCGGAAAACCAGGTGCTCAATATGACGGATCGGGTCGCTGATCTCCCCATTTCTCATTGTGTCACTCCTTATATGAATATCGTCCTTACAACTGAGGTATTTCCTAGTGAGATTAGAAGTATGGTCTTCTCTTTGGGATCGAAGTAGGCACCGGGGTCGGACGGGTTCACGGGGAATTTTTTTAAAGCCTTTTGGGATGTGATGGGAAATTTGGTGATTGAAGCTGTTAGCTCGTTCTTTAGAACAAGCCGGATTCTCCGGAGCTTCAATCATACGTGGTTGACCTTAATCCCAAAGGTGGATAACGTTCAGACCATGAAGCAGTTGCGGCCGATCAGCCTTTGTCAGTATGTGTACAAAATCATCTCTAAGATCATGGCTGAAAGATTGGCTGGTCTCCTGCCCCAGATCATCTCAGAAGGACAAAATGTGTTAATCTGTGAAAGGCAAATCGTTGATAACATTCTCCCGGGGCATGAGTTAATGCACTATTTGAAAATCAAAACTCGTGGTAAGAAAGGGTACATGGCTCTAAAGGTTGACATGGAAAAGGCCTATGATAAAGTCGAATGGCCCTTTCTGCTAGTGGTTTTGGAGAAGATGGGATTTAACTCTGTGTGGAGAGGTTGGATACAGGAATGCCTCTAGTCCGCTTCTTTCTCGGTTCTCATGAATGGCGCCTCGTCTAGGTACTTTTCGCCCTCTCGAGGTCTCAGGCAAGGGGATCCGCTTTCTCCCCTTTTGTTTGTCATTTGTAAGGAGGGGTTTGCGGCCCTCCTCCATAATGCAATTGCGGATGGTAGGTTGGAAGGAGTCAAAGTTGCTCCTCGTGCTCCTCGGATCTCGCACCTGTTCTTTGCGGATGACTCATATTTATTTCTGCGGGGTTCCCTTCAGGAGTGTGAGATCTTGCTTGAGGTGTTGAATGAGTATGAGGAACTGAGCGGACAAAGAGTTAATCTGGCAAAATCAGCTGTTTGTTTCAGCAAAAATATTGCTTTGCCAGATCAGGAGTTTTTGGCTCAAATCCTGAGGGGTGGGGGCGGTAGGGGTCCATGATAAATATCTGGGGTTGCCCACTTTGATTGCACAATCGAAAATGGCTACGTTTCGCTATTTAGAGGGAAAATTGCTCGAACGACTGCAAGGTTGGAAGAAGAGGACTTTGTCTTGGGCTGCTAAGGAGACTTTGATTAAATCAATCGCCTTGGCTTTGCCATTACATATTATGTCCTGTTTCAAGTTGCCTCTCTCTCTCAGTGCCGTCTTCTGGATAAGCATGTGGCCCGGTTCTGGTGGGGAGTGGAGGAGGATCACCAGCGGATCCACTGGGTTTCCTGGAGATCTTTCTGCCAGAGTATGCACAAAGGGGGTATGGGGTTTCAGAGATTTGAGCATTTTAATCAAGCGTTGTTGGCCAAGATTGGCTGGCGTATTCTAAATGAACTGCAATCTCTGTTAGCCCAGGTCTATAAAGGGAAGTACTTTCCAACGGGTACCTTCTTGTCTGCTAAGGCTCGTTCCCCCGCATCTTGGGGTTGGCAGAGCATCCTTCATGGTCGACAGTTGTTGGATATGGGATTACGGTGGCAAATTGGCAATGGACAGAAGGCTTCTCTCATCCACTCTCACTGGATCCCGCGCTTACATCCTGATCCCCCAGTTTACAATCCCCAGGTGTTGCTTGTGGGGGGTGATCCTAAAGTAGCGGAGGTTATTTGCTAAGGTGAGGGGCGGTGGTGTGATCTCAAGCTTAGTCAGTGGTTTGACCCGCTTACTTGTCAGGAAATTAAAGCTATTCCCCTTCTGCGATGAGACATTGCGGATAAACTGATCGGCATGCCACACATGATGGCGTTTTCACTGTAAAAACGACATACCACCTTGCTATTTTCTTGGATAAGCAAAGGGGCAGCTGGAGAGCATCGACAAGCTGGATGGATAGAGCTGGTTGGATTCGTTTGTGGGAGGCGAATATTCCCCCCCCCCCCCCCCCAAAGTTGAAAGTTTTTGTTTAGCAAATCTTTCACCGGATTCTCCCCACTACAGGGGCTCTCCCCACTGCAGGGGGGATGGTAATTTTGAATCAGGACCGGGATGTCCTTTTTGTTAAAGGTGTGCAATTCCCGATGATTGATGATCCCATGGTAGTAGAATTACTCGACCTTCGTGAAGCAGTTTTGTGGTGCATCAGTCATGGCTTCACCGACATGAGGTTTGAAGGGGATGCTAAGGTGGTTATTGATAAGATCCTAGGAGCGGACACCAGTGATAGTCGCATGGGGGCGATTCTTGAGGAGATTGTTCAGTTTGTTGCAAGCTCTCCGGGGTTTAGTGTTCGATTTGTAGGTCGGCATAGCAATAGGGTAGCCCATTTGGTGGCTCGCAAAGCCCTCTTTTTGTACCCGACTACGAGTCGTTTATTTGATTTTCAGAGCTGGCTGAACTCCAGAATGTAACTATCTATTTATTTCAATACATATATGATTATCTTATGTAAAAAAAATGTTTATGGTAATGGCGATGAATCTGAAACGAGCCTGAAACTTGATTAGGTTAGGATATCTTGAAAAATAGGGTTTGTGATGTGGGTGTCAGTCTAGAAATTTGTGGTGTCTATGGTGAGTTTGATTATGAGATTCAGTTGATGGTGGTTGTGATGGTTTTGGTTAATAATGGGTTTAGATTAGAGGGGAAGTGCTTAAACAAAAAGGAAAGGTATCTTAATCATCTCAGAGTCAAGGTCCTTAATTGTTTGTTTTGAATCTGGATTTTGGTATCTAATTGATTTAAACGTGGATTTGATAACTGAAATGATCTTGAAGAAGGAAAAGAAAATGTAGAGGGAAATCTTACAAGAAAATAGTTTCCAATCAAATGAAGATTGAACATATAAAGTGCACATTCAGAAAGATCAACCTTTTCAATAGTTTTATAGCAACGATTGTGAGTATGGATTACAGTGGATGGAAAGGATGGATTAGTTATTTAAGCTCTTGAGAAAGGTAGAAAATGATGTGATTATGTATAAATAATGATCAATGATGATTAGTTTGATCACAAACCTTTTCCTTGCTTGGTGATGACTCTGCTCTTCCTTCCAAACTCCTTTGGGTGGCCTTGCTGCTGCCTTGGCCGATCGATTCCTTCTTTTTAGTTTTGTTATACTTTTGTAATTTTGTGCAGTTGATTCGGCTAAGAAGTAAAAGGAGAGGGGTGGAAGAGAGAGTTCATTGTATGTGTTTGTCGAGTTCTTTGGCTTCTTTTTTCTGTGTGTGTGGGTTGTATATTGTTAAAAAAAAAGGAAGAGAGTTCTGATGTTGTCTTCTTACTGTCTATTTATTGTGGTTCATAGAAGAAGGAAGGCCATGCTAGAAAGAAGAAGAGCTGAGAACATAGGGCTGGGAAACGGTGCGGTCTGGTTCAAACCGGAGCATATACGCGGTCTACGGTCCAGACCGAGAGGTTAGAGTATAGACCATAGACCAGACCACAGACTATAACAATTTATTTAGTCAACCGAACAAAAAAATTGAACCAATAACCAAGAGAAAATATTTTATTTCCTTGAAACTTAAATTCCTACATGCATGGATGATTATGACACCATAAATATATGCAAATAATAAAGATACAAAGTCAAAACATTCCAACTTATACCATAACATCATAAACATTTACATAATGTCATATGAAGACATGATCGTCTCTACTCTCTAGTGAAATGTGGTTGTGAATGAAGGAGGGGACAAGATTCTCAAAATTAAGATTGAGACTTGGGTTTCGTTGTGGGAGTTGGGAGAGTGGTCAAGTGGGTTGCTTATACAAATTGAGAAGCATGCTGGGTTCACGGTTTGGTCCGGTAAATCGCGATCTAGACCATACCAGACCAAGAAATAAAAACATCATATAATACATACTATGGACTAGACCAAACCATACTTAACGGTCTATAGTACAGACCAAACTGTGCGGTCCGGTTTGGACCATGGTTTTTCAAATGGTATGGTCTACTTTCCTAGTTCTACGAGAAGAGAGTGTGTATAAGAAAGAAGAAGAAAACAATCTTGTGTTTTAGGCATTAGAGGCGTGGAGAAGATGATGAAGAAAAAACAGAGGAAGGCCTCTGCCCTTTCTGTTTTTTGCAGAGTTTTGTTCGGATGAAGAAGAAGAGAAGAGGTTGAGGAAGGAAAAATTGGATCCCCTTTCTCTGCCTGCTGAACCCATTTTTTATAGAGAAAATTGTATGTAGGTACAGTAGAGTAGAATAGGGTAGGTTTGTGTATTTTTTTATTGGTTGTTGAGTGGGATGGGGTTGCACTGGTTCAACCAATCTGGTTCGACCAAGAATGGGCTTGGCTTGAATTTGGCTGGGCTTTGACGTGTTGACTTTTGAGTTGGACTGGGGTGTTGGTCGACTAAACTTGACTTGGGCAGGCTTGTGTATGTAGTTGGAGCTCTAATTAGATTGTAATTTGTAATTAATTGTATGGATCTTAATTAAAGAATTTACCAGTTTATTCTTTTCTCTTATCATCTCACACTGCAAATTAAATCAACTCTATTGAATTGATTAATCATGGCAACTAGGGGTGGGCATTCGGTCGGTTCGGTTTCGACCGATCCGAAATTATGAATACTGGGTCCCCGAATTCTCTCAAACCTCAAACCGAATTCGAACCAAAGTATAATTCGGTTCGAATTCGAACCAAAGTATAATTGTATGGATCTTAATTAAAGAATTTACCAGTTTATTCTTTTCTCTTATCATCTCACACTGCAAATTAAATCAACTCTATTGAATTGATTAACCATGGCAACTAGGGGTGGGCATTCGGTCGGTTCGGTTTCGACCGAACCGAAATTATGAATACTGGGTCCCCGAATTCTCTCAAACCTCAAACCGAATTCGAACCAAAGTATAATTCGGTTCGGTCGGTTTACACCGAATTATAATTCGGTTCGGTTTGATTTTTCACCCAAAACCGAATTTGTGAAGCTACTTGTATTTTATCACATTTAAATTATTTTTCACCCCTAATATAAACAATAAATATCAATTATATGCATCATCAATGATAAAATCAAACTTTTCAACACATAAGTCATAAAACATTTCAAATATTTAAGTCTAAAAACAACTACAAACACAAAAATCCACCATTTGGAGCTTGCAATTATAGTATTTTGGTTTTTGGTCGGAAATTCGGTTCGGTTGAAAGAACCCTGGTTTCCGAACTATCCATATTTTCCTTCCGAATTCCGAACCGAATAGCATTAATTCGGTTTTGGTTTCGGTTCGGTTCGATTCGAATTTACCGAACCGTTTGCCCACCCCTAATGGCAACAAAACAACATGACATTGAATTGGCCAAGTCTAATGCGATCTTGAACAACATTGACCTTCTTAGATTTGCTATTACCAATCTCATTAAATCGATATGAACAATCACAAATTCGTATTAATTTAATTATTTAGATAATAGGACAATTAAGTACCACAATTGTCTATCTCAAACGGATTAAAATTTCCTAGTCGATCATGTATCAACACAGACAAAATGTGGTGTCTACAGTTGTCTCCCTTTGTATATCTCTTTGTATAAATAGATGGACAAAGAGTATACAAAGTTCCATAATAGACACTCACATTTTGAACGTGTAAACGTCCGCAAGTATAAATTAAGCTTAAGAATTAGTAATATTGACGCATTCAAATTGTTATGGTGGTAGAAATGATATTGAACAAATTGAATAAGAAAATGTCAAGGATGAAAATCAAACCGACTGTTTTGTAATGACGATATGCTCAAATTGTCCATGATAGAAATCAAATTAAGCAATGAGAAGAAATGTCAACGATAAAAATCAAACCAACCATTTTCGACTCAAATTGTCTATGATTGGAATCAAATCAAACAATGAAAAAAATGTCAGGAGAAAAATCAAACTAACATTTGTGTAAAGACAATGCACTCAAATTGTTCGTGATAGAATCAATAGAACAAATGGAAAAATGATTGCGGTAAAATCAAGCTAGCCATTTTGTAGTCATGATGTACACAAACTGTCTGTGATAGAAAGCGGTCAAATCAAGCTATTAATTATGTAAGGGAGACGTACTCAAATCGTCTGTGATAGAAATCAAATCGGACAATGAGAAAATTGTCAGCAATAAATCAAGCTATTAATTTTTGTAATAACAAATGTACTCAAAATGTATGTGATAGAAATCAATCAAACAATGAGAAAACTGTCACCGGTAAAATCAAGCTAACTAATTTGTGATGACGATATACTCAAATTGTTTGTGATATAAATCAATCAAACAATGAGAAAAATGATAGTGGTAAAATCAAACTAATCATTTTGTAAGGACACTGTACTCAAATTATCTATGATAGAAATCAAATCGGACAACGAGAAAAAAAATGTCAGCGGAAAAATCAAACTAACATTTTGGTAACAATGATGTACTCAAATTGTTCGTGATTGAAATCAGTTGAACCATGATAAAAATGAATGTGGTAAAATCAAGCTAGCCATTTTTTAAAGATGATGTACTCAAATTGTCTATGATAGAAATCAAATCAAACAATGAGACAAGAAAATGATTGCGGTAAAATCAAGCTAATCATTTTCTAAAGATAAAATTAGTGGCGTCAATAGCCAAAAAGAAAAGAAAGCAGAGATAAGCAAAAGAGAAAAATACCATTTTTCTCTCTTTTTTCCAATAAAGATAAATTATCTGAAAAATATATTGAATACAATAAAAATGGAAGCAAATAGAATAAAGAAAAGAAAATGTAGGAATTATCCATCCATGTAGCCACGATGTGCCAGAAACAAGGGAGTGGATAGCCATCCACCTCCCATCGCAACTGCACGGGCTGCTTGCCGGAGGAAGGAGAAGAACTGCAAAATCCCCAATGGAGAGGAAACAGGGGCGACCAGTACTGTACAAGGGCGGAGAAGTTTGGTTATGTGGATTGCGGACTAGCTAGCCCCTTCCGTCGCTAATAAGTACGGATCAACAATTCAACATGCAAGTTACAGAACTATTAACACGAAAAGGTGAATGGTGGACATCACAATGTAACAAATCGAACCAGCATGACACACAAAGGCGATAATCCGACGAAGCGGAGATTGCTGTATATAGACAAACACATGTTTTTATGCTCAAACTGAAATAGAGAAGAAGATTCTTACCTCTATATCCTGGCGTGATTCTCCAAATCAAGGTGGTCTTGTTGAAGATGTCGCGGTAGATCGACGGTGCATCGAAACAAGGAAGAAAGAGGCGGTTGGATTTGTGGCCGGAACTGTTTGCTTCCCCCTCTGATTTCGAGGAAGGCAATCAAAATGCGTCGGGACGAACCGCGATTCAGGATGTTGTCGCCTGCCTCGCCGCTGCTGCATAGGTTGGAGAGTTTTGCCGGGATAATCTCATCCGAGACTGTCTTTTCCCCCCGCTGCTGGGTCGCCGTCGCTGGTTGGTCATCACTCATGATCATCGGCAGATTCTTGCGACACACACCCTTTCTTTAACTTCCTCAGAGATCGCGTCCCCAACTATCTTAATTATAAACTATCAATTATAATGAGAGTAACTCAAGAAAATATTTAGTAGAAATGCAAGTGATGTCCACCCAAATCAAAAGCTAATTCCTTTTCCTCAACTCTCCCTTCACTCTTTCATTTACTCTCTCGTGTTAACGAGATTATGTTAGTTATTACTCCGTAGATGTATTAGAGTAAGAGAATAATGATTTGAATTACATTGTATTTTATCTTATAGATTAATTGATGTTTTAGGATAAGATGCTTTGAACTGTGTTAAGAATGATCGTCTCTTTGTCGAGTTCATGATATAGTAGATGCGTTTAGTGTTACAATTGAAAATTTAGATATAAAATTTTAGGTTTTATAGTATTGGATGTAAGGGGCAGGTATTACCATGGGTACCCTAAAGCCACAGGTATCATGATGGGTTTGCAAAACCTTCTCCGAATAGGTATGGGGCAGGTATGGGTTTGGATATTTCAAAGCGGGGATGGAGATAAAAGGTAAACCTACTCCAAACCCGCTCCATTGCCATCCCCCTCCCGCTACTAAATAAGTCCAACTTCGAAACGGTACCATTTAGATATGGTATGGCCGTTACTAGCAAAATTAGTGATTGACTTTTCTCCGTTTGGAAAAGTGTATTATATAAACAGTCAAGCGAAACGAAGGGGATTAGAAAATCGACGCCATTGCATTTCCATGATCGGGAACTTCTGTTGACACCTAAAATTAATGTGGCCGGAATTAAATGCCGCATTAATTAGTCTCGGCATTTAATCCGATACCATGGGTAAAAAGCGGTGTCGGTGTCGCGGAGAGTTAAAACGATACCGCGAAACAGAAAAGCGGTGACGCAAGGAAGCTCTGCGGTACCGCGGCATGGGAAACGACACCGCTTAATGAAAATAAAAGGGGGTCGCGCGGTTGGTTGGGTGTTGGAGGAGGAGTTTTTCTAATTAATTATTATTCTCTTTATTCCTTAGCGAAAGGGGAAAACCGGTGCCGCACGAAGACAAGCGGTACCGCGGAGAATTAAAACGGTACCGCGGATTTAAAAACTATGCCGCGAGAGCCTAGTAAGCGGTACCGATTAATTAAAGCAAAATTCCCCTAGTCCAATGCGAGCGCCGATTGGCGGTGGTTCCATGGAATTTGTCTCGGCTATATCAGCGGTGTCATTTAAGTTCAAAACAGTGCCGCGAGTAGGCCCATTGGTGCCGTTGTACTAGCAAACGACAGTGTTTAAAATAACAAACAATGTTGCGAAAGGAAAAGCAAACGGAGCCATTTTGGCGGGAATGATGTCGTTGGTCAACACGCTCATTTGACTTGTGATGGCCGGATTGATCAATTAATATTTTAATGACTGTTTGGGACGATGTCGTTTAGTTGAAAACGATGCCTCAAGAGGAAAGAAACGACACCGTGGATTATAAAGTAGTGCCGCGAGTAGGCCAAACGATGCCGCAACAGTTAAAACGACAGTGTTTAAAATTAAAACAGTGTCGCGAAGCTCAAAAGTTCAACAACATCGTGGGACAAGGAAACGATGTTGTTTAACTAAGAACGACGCCGAGGGGTGAAAGTTCGACGGCCAGTTAACAATGAGGGCTGGTTTAATTAATTAGTATTTTATGATTATTTTAGACGGTGTCGTTTAATGAAAAGCGATGCAGCGGAAAAGTAAAACGACACCGCGGTAGTGGTAAGAGTTCGGTCAAAGGCAGCCCGCCAAGCCCATCGACGGCACAAGAGTATAGAACAACGTTATTTGATGGACTAACAATGTCGTTGGTTAAACCGGGTCGGGGTAGTTGAGTTGGATTATAAAACAACATCGGTTTGTGAAAGGCGATGTCGTGGTATTGGTGAAACGTCATCGTTACATGGACAAGGTTGTAAGTCGTTTCGCCAAGTTTCTGCAAAGCAAGAGCGGTTTCGAGGGCACGTGATTATCACGCAACAAGGAGGAAGTTACCTGCACGGTTGACAGAAATGAAGACGTGGGAGACAAAGGCTCCAAGGCAGTTACTACGACGGGGAGAAGCGCGAGTATAAAGATTGGGAAGAGAGAGAAGCTCGAGACGGCAAAATCAAATCACAAACTGCATCGTCGCAGATTTATCTTTTTCTCTCTAGTTTCGTAGAACCGCTCTGTCAAAGAACTCCTTTGCAGAGTCGTAGATCGTAGCTTGTAGTCGTAGTCGTAGTCGCGGAGCTCTCCAGAGGAACCTCCATAGGAGTAGAGGTAACGTAACTTAGAACTCCTTGTTCGATTTTCTGGTTATTCGCCGAACACCCTCGTTCGAACGTAGTTTGGAGAGGTGGTGAACCGAATAACAGTTGTTTGATTAGAAGTCAAAGGTGTATCGATCAAATCAACATCGACGACGCCGGCGGTGGATATTTGACGGTCGTCGTGATTTATGTTTTAATCGATCAAATCAACGGCGCCGACTTTCGGCGGCGGATATTTGACGGTTTTGCTGACTGTGTGTTTGTGCTTACTTGAAAACAGTGCGCATTGAACACGCGAGTTTCGCCAACGAAACAAATTGGCACACCTGGTGGGACACGTGTATTCGAATGGCTCCGCGACGAAGGAATCAGGACGGGGATGTTCCACCCGGATTCGTGGAGGAACAAGTGGCCAACATTGAAGGAGGCCAAGGAGTCGGGGCTGAAGACATCGGCCGTTCTGAGAGGCCGACCGAGGATTTTTCAATCCGCCATTTCATGGAGGAGAACCGTCGCATGTTTGAGAGCCACAACAATGAGTTCGCAGGCTTCAAAGGCGAGTTTGCAAGCTTCAAGGGCGAGGTAAATCAACGTTTTGACGCTTTAACTGCACGACATGATTCTCTTGAGTCTCGTGTTGATAGGCGTTTAAGCCAACTCTTTGAAGTTGTGACTAAAAACAGACATGATTTTGATGTTTTTGTGGATAAAAATCTACGTGATATGAATGAAATCAGAGAGCTTTTGGGTAGACCAGTAATGCAATCTAGGGATTTGCCGTTAAACGGTGAAAACAATCCAAACATCGAAACTGGTTTTCCAAACAACAGTGCTCGAAATAGTCCGCCAAGACAAGGAGTTCCGCCGATACCGGTGGTGAACCCACCAACTACGTGGGTTAATACTGGCGAGACTAGCACTGCCGCTAACACTCGGGTTGTACCGCCGCCATTACACAGTGGGGTCCACAAAATATCCCGGAGGCCAGGCCCTACGTGGCTCCGATGAGCGGTACTGCACGCGGCTACCCGCAAAACGTGCCTCCTCCTCCAAACGGGTTTGGCATGGATCCTGGTGGATTCATACCACAAGGGGGGCAACTCGGGGGCAAGATGTTAACGCGATTCTAGATCAGGTAGCACAGATGCTGGCGGATCAGTTTGGTTTAGGGATTAGACCAGCGATGCCGCCGGTATACCGAAAACCATATCCGGATTGGGTGGATAGATACTACCCCTTTCCAAGTGGGTTTCGCGTACCTGATTTCATCACCTACAGCGGGACTGGAGATTAGTCCATCTTCAAGCACGTTGGACGATTCACAGTTCAGTGTGGTGATGTGAGTGATTTCTTGAAGTTGCGTTTGTTTGCCAACTCGTTGACTGGTCCCGCCTTCGCGTAGTACGTTAACCTCCCATCAAACTCGGTTCAAACTTGGCAGCAAATGGAACAAATGTTCCATGCCCAGTTCTACCGTTCGGAGCCAGAAGTAACAATGGCAGACTTGGCACGAATGTGCCAACAGCCAAGAGAAACGGTGGAACACTTCTTAACTAACTTTAAAAATGCAAGAAATCGCTGTTTTATGAACTTGACAGAACGCGAGTTTGTTAAACTTGCCCAGGGTGGATTGAATTTTGAACTTCGTAAAAAGTTTCAAGATAGGGAGTTTTCTGATTTGTTTCAATTGATGTCCTGCGCTGTTAGATACGAATCTCTTCTCCATGAAGAAGAACATAAGAGGAGTGGTTCTCGTGGACAATATTTCCCTAATTTTGAAAACTATGGTGTGAATAACGTCGTCAGTGATGTTGACGAGGTTGAAGTTGATTTGGCCGAGATTGTGCAGGGGAAGCTATATGTGTGTGCTTCTCTGGCCAAGGCCGATGGGGAACCACAAGGTGGAAAGCCTAATCGTGCTCCAATTCAAACTAGGAAATATTCCTTTGATGTTTCAAAATCAGAGTTGATTTTCGACCAGCTTTACAAAGATGGTCAAATTAAGTTAACTGGGGGCCATACTATCCGCCAGCTGAAAAGTTAAAAGGGAAACGATATTGTAAATGGCACAACAGTGCATCTCATTCAACTAACATCTGTGTTGTGTTTCGCAACGTTGTGCAGGATGCAATTGATAAAGGTCAGTTCAAGTTCCCAGAGCCGAGGAAGGAGACCATGATTGTTGACACAGACCCTTTCCCAAATGTTGTCGGCATCAACATGGTTAATCCCGACTTCACTAAGATCAACCTGCCACGCTTCAAGCTGGTGGTGGATACAACGCCGCCGCCGAGTGGTAGTTCTGATGTGGCCCAGGGTGCTTCATCATCCCAAGTGCAGGAGGGGCCACGCTTGGACCCAGCTGAGGAAGAGAAACTGTGTGCCCAGTGTCGAGGAAAACTAAACATTGGGGGAGCATGACCAAGCCAGACGGTCCACCAGAGATTGGGACCACGACAGTTCAAACCGAGGTACCCCTCATATGAACGCAATGTCGAAGGAGTACGTGCACCTGCATGGGGAAGAGGGCAACGTAGACAGTGGGTTGCTCAAAGTGCCCCACCTTTCAAAAGTCTGCCTTTTGGACTTGCTCGACCGGTGAGAGGTTCCCCACCTGTCAGGAGAACTTTCATGATGCCAAATGTGCCACAGGGTGGTTGGCACACCTACGATGTCCTTCGTCAGCAACCTATCGCCGTTGACGAGATGACAAGGACACTCCGCAAGAATGCACAAGGAAGGAGGATTGCAAACTTGCAAGCAAATGTGAACGTGGATAACTCTACCACGGGTCTGAGAGTGAATGTGGCCGGCTGCAGAGCTGGTTGGCGAGTCAGCGGATCTGCCAATCGAGGCTGAGCCGTGGAGTGTAATGATGGCTCGCACGAATGGTCGAATTGACTTGGCAGTAGAGTCAGCCAAACAGAACAAGAGTTCGCAGCGGATCCTGAAAGAACTGTACGAAGCTGGCCACAAAGCTGTTGGGCTACTGGGCGAAGATGGGGGAAGATATCCTTTTTACGTGTTATACCAAGGCCCGAAAGAGTCAACAAGTGTGCCAGTGGAGAACATCACATGGGGGTCAGACTTC